TTTCTTTTCTTTTGAAATTTGAAGTTTTGGTAGAAAATGTGTAGACAGCAAACAAATTATTTGAGAAAGAATTATATTCATATTACAATGTGTTACGCCTCAAAATCGAGGCTAAAAAAGAAGTCCAAACAAAAGGTCCACACGTCGCATCATTAAAAATCGATCTGAAGTCCTAGGTAAAGATGATGAATCAATACCTGACCCAAAGCGCCATGTGTGAGCAAAAACTCCATGGCCGATGCAAAGCGTCACCTATATAGAGGTGATCCCCAGCTTTATCCGAAGCACTATATAGTAGCTGAAGCCCTGAACCAAAAGCGTTATTTAAATGGTTGAAGCCCTAAAAGTCCACATTTTCAAAGCAAAAGCCCTCTAACCATAAATGAGCATATTTTATATTCACTTTTCCCAAATAATCTTCTACATAAAGACCCTATGAGAATGATTGATGTGACTGACGTTGTAGCAGAAGAATGTCAAGTCTGTCGGCTTACTACATAGGTATCAACCTAGGCTCTAGAGTGGCTACTTTTTCAGATTGCATTAAATGATGCATGACCTAGTATGTATAATATTATGCCTACGATGGGACGCTTCGAATAAGGAGATAAAGTCATGTGCATCATCGTCCAACAGCTACCATTTCATCTCAACTACTATAAAAGATGACAACCCATGCCATTTGAAAGGTAATGCAACTCAAAACACTACAAGTTTTGTAATATTATTCTCTCTCTTTTTTACTTACTCTCATACACACACGATGCTCGAACACTTAAGTGGCTCACATCTAAAGCACGTCACATACCCAAATATAAATACCTCATTGACTAACTTGATCGCGAGTGCATGTGACAGCCACCACCACCGGAGAAGGTCACATATGACCAATGATTTGTCCAAGTGTGCAGGAGCAAGCTTACATTGACGTAGGTGGAGTCGAGATCCTGTTTGCGCATTTTTTGGGGTTAACAGATTGGAGCCGTCTATAGAAAACGTCACTACAACCACGAACATTCCCTTGGAAAACGTTTACAGGAATATTTATTTGGCTTCCCCTTGCAAAAGAATTTGTTCTTAAAGAAATGACAAGTGGTAGCCCCAAGAAAGAGATTCTGAGTCCAAATCAGTACTTGGATAGTTGATATTCCTTGAAAAGAGGTATATATTGAGATAGAAATCCATTTGTAAAACCCCAACCTCTTTGAAGAAAAGAGTTGTATGGAAAAAAAATGAGTTCAAGCAATGACGAAGCCCCACTTAGAAGGGTTAGAAAGGCCCCTAAAGAAGGGGTTCCCCTGGAGAACTTCGTTAGTAGGTCATCAACGACCTCACCACCAGCATAGACAATGTAGAATGAGAGTTACTATCCAACTTACTCAAGAAGTAGCTAAATGGCTACCAACATGAGGAGCATCATTTACAAAAATGCCCTTGTGCAACAGCTCCAAATGTAAGGGAATAGGAAAAAGAGGTTATAAATAAGAAGATCCCTTGAAAAGGGAGATGTCTCTAAAGAAGTGGCCTTCAATAAGTAGCCCTCCTAAAAAGGAAGAGGCCGCTAAAGAAGTGACCTTAAATAAGTAGACCCCCTAAAGGGGGGAGGTCTCTAACGAAGAGGCCATGAATAAGAAAGATCCCTTAAAAGGGGGAGGCTATTGAAGAAATGGCATTGAATAAGTAAACTCCCCAAAAGGGAAAGGTTTCCAACGAAGAGGCCATGAAGAATAAGACCC